GGCGGGGGTAGGGTGCACAGTCGACAGGGGGGTGTTCGGTGTCGGGGGTGGAAAAGTCTGTGAAAAACGCGCGCATGACAATGCCGCCCCTCCTTGTCCACCCCACACCCTCGGCCTGGCCTCTTCTTTCTCCACCTTCGCCTTGGCCGACTCCTTTCTGCCAACCCTGACGGCGAGGGTAGGGGCGGCGGTGTCGGGGACTAATTAAAAATTCAGCCGGCGACGAGTTCTTCGAAGACGTTGGCCTGCTACCCCGCATTTACCGCCCGCCCGCCCTCCAACTTTTCATTCATTCATTCCTATCCTCGCCTTTCTCTTTCTTTCGCCCCCTTCTTCCTCTGCTTCTTCTTCTTCTACTTCTTCGACGCTCTTTCGCGTCTTCGCCAGACGTCCACGCGGACCCGCTCTCTTTTATTCTTACGCGCCACGCGACCGACACCGTCCTTTCTTTTTTCCACGCGCTTTTTGCCACCCTCGCTTTCAACGGATTAAGGAGGCGAGAAGGTCGAATCAGAGAACGAGGACGATCTCACAGATCGATCGGAATTGATTGATTACCAGGAGCTTCAAGGGTGTCCTATTTTAGTACGGTTTAAGGGTAGCATCCAAAGGAATTACAACCCAGCGAGACAGGTACCGCTCGATTTCGCTCGACTCGATTTATGAAGATTTCGTACCTGCATCTCGACCTCGTGTAAATTACAGAGATTTGTCGACGATCGTTCGCAAGACTAATCTCGCGTAATCGATCCAACTCTTTCAATTTTCGAATCTAAAGTAGACTTCGTATACAGAACTTGAACAATGTCGAAAACGACAAAGTACACTTCGACACTTTCTTCCTCACCAAACAAATATACAACGCGAGTTTTCACTCGAATTTGCAGATCGATCGTTTCACAGAGATCACAGGACTGCTTTGAAACAGGGGGTCGAATTAAACGAAGCGGGGAATCTAGACTATAAAGAACGCGATTCGAAAAGTTTTTTAAGCAACAAGCGATCACAGGACGGCCCGGAAACGCGTCGGAGTTTCCGAGAAATTGTTCGGCGCGAGAAGTTTCACTCTACCTTGGAAGTTTTCGACGGGAGCCGAGGTCGCGTGGTTCGCGAACCCGGCGCAAAATCCAAAAATAATGACACGCGAGAACGAGAGCGCGAACTGGCAGCGACGGGCGCGAATCTCGACCGGTCGGCAAACAACGAGCGCGAATTTTCTTCGGGTTTTATTTATCTTTTCACTCACCTTGCGCGATCCTGACCGCGGGCATTTTGATCCTCATGATGACGTTCTCTATCTTCGCGTGTCGTCGCACGATCTATGCTCGATGTTTCCCTCGAACGTCGTCCAGGACGGAAGGTATCTGTCGATTCCCGAGTTCCTTGGAGTTTTCACACGTTTTCCTGCAGGGGAGGCGAGAAGAAAAGGGGGAGGCGACGACCACGTTGGAAGGAAAACAGTTCCTTCGGCCGGCGAAGCTCGCTAGACGATCGTCACGCTTCTGCCCTCCTCCCCCTCACTTCCGCCCCTCGCTGTTGTTGCCCCGAAACGAGTCCATCCGACGTTTCACCTGTTTCCACCTGGAACAACTGTTTCACTTGGCCGTCGATTACTCGTCGTCGCTTTCACGGATAAAACTGAACCCCAGTACGGGCAACACTCGTATCCCGATCGGCACCTGGTCGACGACCACCGCGTAACTGACGATCGGCCGGACACGCGCGTCTTCGTCAACTACTGTTCGTCCTCATGTTCCTCATCGGCACACCGCGTCGCGACGCACATACACCGCACCGGGTAAGAAACGCGAGGGAAAAATGTTACCGAGGCGCACAGCTGCGACAACCTTTTTCACGATCTAACAACCGGTATCATTCATCGGTGCTCCTCCATCGTCCACAAATCGCGCGTAGTTGCTGGATCGCCGGTGTCCGTCGCGCGCGTATCATCCGCGGAGAGTCCTCGTTCGGAAGCACGACACGCACGCAACACTTCTTCGGATCGGTCTGTCCGCTCTGGTGACGCACTCCGGTACCGAACTATCGTGGTCCGTCACGCATCTCCGCGTAGTACACCGTGCACCGGGGACGTGTTAGACGACGACGAAGACGACGCTGGTCCCTCGTTCTTCCGGCTAGGAGGATCACGAGTGTCCCTCGGGTCGTCCTCCTCGACGACC